GTGCTAATGTGAAGCAGTATGTGTCAATATCATAAAGATTTCCTTATTCAGAATATTTCCAGTTTTTCTGCCCTGAAAACACATTGGATGCATTTGACCCCACAAAAGACATGTAATTCTGTAAATTGCAAAAAGTACAATGCTATGATCATGTAGTAGTACTACCTGTTTTTCTCCAAACATGTCAACCTGCAGTTCCTGTTCCGACTAGAAGTGACACTGCACTTATGACTTACTTGACCTTTGAGCTTTTAATTGTTAATAGACAGAAAAACTGGGGCAAATGGGCAAGTGTCTACAGTACTATGGTGCTACTAGTACAAATGTACATGAGGGATGTTTCATTTCAAATACAGGGGGTACAAAAATCGCAGAGAATATAACGGAAGAAATTATTCAAATTTACGAATCCTCAGATCCCATTTTCTATCCCGGATAGAAAATGAGACAAAATTAAGTTATTGAAGCCAAAAAATAATAATTTTGGGGCATGTTAGGGTAATATACTATTCAAAACAACCACTTAACTGACCCCCCTCCTGAAGCCAAAAATGGAACACTCTGAATTGACAGGTGTCTACAGTACTATCAATAAATGGTACTACTAGTACATTAAAGGGCTGTTTCATTATACAAATACAGGGGGTATACAAATCGCAAAGAATATAACAGAAGAAAGTATTCGACTTTAATTTCCTCAGATCCTGGATTACAATAAAAAGTAAGACAAAATTAAGTTTGGGAAGCAAAAAAATAATACTAAGTTTCACGAATGTAAAGAATCTGAAGTAAACAGAAAAAAAAACACACACTGCCCCCCCCCTCAAGCCAACAATGGAATACTCTAAATTGACTTAGTAGCACATATACAATATATATAGCACTGTGTTTCAAAGAACTCAAAATGCACTGTGTAACAGAATTTGCCGTCGTAGACCACTGCACATTAACAAGATTAAATACTGGACGCGGCCAGGCCGGATATTTGAGGACGGACTAAACCACTTTCATCAGCAATTTTACTGTTACGGAGGGTCCAGGGTTTGTGTTGATTGGATTATCTTGTACCTTTGGTGGTACATGACTCTATCTATCATATTTGTGGTACTGGGCATCATGATAGGATATACACGATTAGGGACCATTCATTATTTATTGGAGACAAGCAGTGGGACGGGGTGGTTCATTAATGTTCTGTATTAGGAGGGTCCAGGGTTTGTGTTGATTGGATTATCTTGTACCTTTGGTGGTACATGACTCTATCTATCATATTTGTGGTACAGGGCATCATGATAGGACATACGATTAGGGACCATTCATTATTTATTGGAGACAAGCAGTGGGAAGGGGGTGGTTCATTAATGTTCTGTATAGTAAGAGGGTCCAGGGTTTGTGTTGATTGGATTATCTTGTACCTTTGGTGGTACATGACTCTATCTATCATATTTGTGGTATGGGGCATCATGATAGGACATACTATTAGGACTACAGGGACCATTCATTATTCATTGGAGACAAGCAGGGAGTGGGGGGTTGTCCACTGATTTCAGATGGTTCTGTATTACTGTGCAGGCCTCGAAATTAACTTTTTTCCTCATTGTCCCAGCACTGTCCCAAAAATTAATTTCAATTGTCCCCAAGTGGGGATGAACTGTCTGGCGCGCGCGATCCTAATCTGTTTTTGGAAGGTAATGTATGACTTTATCTTGAAGTCAACTTTATTTTGCTTATATTCACTCCCAGGAAACTGTAAAGTTATTGCAATTTGTATACAGGAAATTTGGGGGGACTTTTCCAGATCCAAAAGCCAGGACGTGTGCCTGATAAACAAAAGAAGGGCTGATATTCTGATGTTGATCATTTTTTTATTGTCCCAAAAATGTCCCAAAGTGTCTTTTTAGTTGTCCCAGTCTAAATTTTAGTGGCCAGTGGCCATTGAACCACCTTTAATTTCGAGCCCTGCAAGTACTATATCTTGCAAGAAATCATACATGTAGATATCATGTAGATATCATGATCATATTCTGGTCAGTAATGTTAAATGTAATATGTACCAACTAGAGTCAAACTTGGCTATTGTAACTACGTATACAAAATTATACTTTCTGGTGGTCCCTTTGAAGTTTTTTTCTGCTATTGACCCAAGAATTACGAATCCTACACCTGTGCTATATAGTCTTCACCTATCTATACAGTTATTAGAAAAACCAGATGCTTGATAAATTATAGAATGAAAGGCTCTCCACGCATCACTGGTTCAGTTTACAACACTATGATTAGGAAAATGGCTCCCATTCTGCATGCATATCAATTTTTAATTTTCCCCATCTGTACATGTACATACCCTACTACTCAGTATACAATACGAGCTGTATATACTGTATGTACCGTATATAGCTTGCATTATTAGGGATCGAAATTCATTTTTGGGCATAGGTGCACTGGTGCACCCAACCTAAAAATTAATATAATTAGGTGCACAAAAAATTGTTTGGGTGCACCAAAAAAATAAACTAAGTAGAATGCCAGCAAAAACTAACGTATGTTTCTAAAGAAAAGTACTACAGGTATAAGAATGATTTTATTATTTTTCTGACTTAGATGTTAAGAATATGCTGTATACTACAGTACAGAATAGTATACAATCTTGACATACATGTACATACATGTAAAAATATTTAGCTGCACTGGTGCACCCACAGAAAAAAAATTGGGTGCACATCTCCAAATTTGGGTACACTTTAAGGTGCACATACACCCAATATTTCGAGCCGTTATACTTTTCAATATTGCGTGCATTCTACAATAACCACAACAAAGAAATGCTAAGTAAAAACTGAAATTAATACATTAATATGATTAAATTCTCCATCCAAAATATTACAAATACTTCATGCATTCAAGTGAAACACCTGTATGATATTATAGCAAAAAGTTATCATACATGTGTATGTAATTTAAATTGCACTGTGAACAATCTATTGACTATTCAATAATCGTTTGAAATTTGGACCAGTACATTTGTATTTGAAAAGACCACTTTACACCTGTAATGCCATTGTGAGAAAGAACAAAGTATAAAGTCTAATTTATCATATCAAAGCATTATTACAGATAAGGCCACAGCAAGTAATTTTTATGGATGACATCAGCTTGACAATTTTCGCCTAATTTAGGGGGAAAAAAGAAGAAATTTTGTTGCCCTCTGAAAGTAGTCAACATGCCGAAAATGGGCAAAGATGTCTGTTGCCATGCCGGAAGGTGGATGGCAGATAACTATGAAGAGAGGAGACAAGAAAAGGCTCTGATTTAATGTTTTGTTTCTTACTTTGATGCAGTGATATGTGATGCTGGCTGTATATATGTGATGTTCCCACTGAATCAAAACCATTTGGACAATGATCGAAAACTTTTATTTTCCAAGTGAGAAATGGATGTTATAATAGTTGGCAATAAGCTTAGCATAATTCTTGTTTCACAAGGTTTATGATATCAAAATTTCAAAATGTAGGAACCTTGTTTTTTTTAGCCTGCCTTGTTTTTTTTTGCCCGCTCGCATTAGATTTGGAGTCTGCGGAGGATGTCATCCATAAAATTTACTTGGTATGGCCTTACTATAAACAGCTGCCCACAGGGAAACAAAGGAAGTGATGTTTTATCACAGAGCACTGTGGAACACAGTAAAGTGCAGCCATGTGTCACTACATAAAGTAACATCTGCAGGTGGGGAGGGGGGCACTCAAGGCAGTTGAGTGGTAGAGGTATACAGTTATAATATTATAGAATAGAACTTATTGTTACCAAGTGTACTAAAGTCATCCTCACTACGCTATACGCTAAATTTTGAGAGCTGGCTACGTATTACGCTGAAGTCCGTGTTACATTTTACGACAAATTCCGGGTAGCTGCAACATATTACGTAGAATTAAAATGACGAACTACGCTCTATGCAAAATGCGCCAAATTATTACGCTCTACATTGAATTAGAGCGGTCTGTCTACGCTCAAACGTTACGTAGAATTAAAATGGCCGATTACGCTCCACAGAAAAGGGCATGCGGGCCCCCTGTAATAGTAAACATGTACATAGAAACTGTTTGTATACAGTGTCATTGTAGGCATCAAAACCCACTGATTCAAAACAATGTGTCATAGATTGTTACTAAGACAAATAGTTGTGAGCCCGTACTAGCAAAAATCGTCATATATTTAGGGACACAGGTACTAAGTAAAGATGGCAAAAATTCGTCTTACTCTCAATTCTAGTTGTTGCAAATAGAAATTTACCATTTCCGAAGCCTTTTTAGGTCCTTTGTATCACAAATTCACAATAAATGTCTTTTTTGTAACTAAACCATCCTTGCTCATATTTACAGCAAAAGGGCAATATATAATTTTAGAAACACAGGCAAGATGGCAAAAATTCGTCTTACTCTCAGTTCTACTTCTAGCTAGTCTTTGCAAATATAAATTTGCCATTTCTGAAGCCTTTTTATGTCCTTTGAGTATCATAATAAATGCCTTTTTTGTCGCTAAACCATACTTGTTCATATTTACAGCAAAGGGTCATATATTTAGAGACACAGGCAAGATTGCAAAAATCGTCTTACTCTCAGTTCTAGTCTTTGCAAATAGAAATTTACATTTTCTGAAGCCTTTTTAGGTCCTTTAAGTATCAAAATAAATGCCTTTTTTGTAACTAAACCATTTATGTTTATATTTACAGCACAAGAGCTTTGTTATTGTAATCATTCGCTGTATAATGATCCTTTTGATGACTCATATATTGTGAAACCACAAAAGATCTGTCAAAAAAAGCCGCCTATTCAATTCCCTTCTACAGCGATTTGAGGCAAGATACTACCTTAAAACACAACCGATATTATTTCCGTAACATTCCTACTATATCCTTTATCGTGCAAGTTTGCCGCAGGTATGAAAAATAGCGGAGAAAGGGAGAAAATTATCAAAACAAAACAAAAACTTTCCCACCAGCTTACCTTTGGCAGCCATCTTGTCGCGGTGCACTCTGGGAGATTTCTGACCTGAGGAAAAAAACTGCAGTTCCATTTTGTCCGCCAGAGGACGCCTCTGATTGGATGTGACGTCCCATTGCATTAGTCAAACCACAAAGTGCTCCTTTGGGGGTGCTACTTGTCAATTCTAAACGAATCATTTGACACTTACCTCTCTCAACCAATGACGCAAAACCCTGTCGAAGTGATGAAACGATTATTCAATGGTGTTTTAGACGACTGACAAGTATTTCTTAACCAATTAAAGGTATTCGAGATTGTCTTTTATTAACTAAAGATACCTTTACATAATTTAGTTACAGATGTAGTTCTAAGACATTCAAAATAAAACAAAGCAAGATGACAAGATCAAAAGAATGTAAGGAAAACATGAATTTTTATATACTTATTTTTTGTCAGGTATTCACTCCCTAGAACTTAATTATGTTTACCGAAGGAAAATATATTGTTTTCGCTGTTTCCTCGTCTTCTCCAAACGAATAAGGTCAATGACCTGAACCAGACGTCTGTCACCATGGTAACTGGTGTTGGGTTACATCATGTTGCAATTTTATAGCAGGAGGGATTTACACTCCTGTCTAACCATGTATATGAATGTTCTTACTCAAACACATTCATATACATGGTTAGACAGGAGTCTAAATCCCTCCTGCTATAAAATTGCAACATTATGTAACCCAACACCAGTTACCATGGTGACAGACGTCTGGTTCAAGGCGAACAATATGCGAAGCTAAACATTATGCATTTGCTTTGCGAATGTTACCTTTCTAGTTCTTTTTAGTGTTTTGATTCATGTTGATCTTTTGGATCATCATTTTATTTTGAAGTGTACAAACTTAAATAAATAGAATTTTCACATTCAACAAAGACAGTTTAAGACACTAATCCTGTACAACTTGTAGCTCAATAAAAATAATACACAAAACCACTCTGCAATGAAGTTAGTACAAGGTTTATTTAAGTTATGATTGTCCAAATAAAGTGGAGCCGATATCAAATTGCAAAAAGCTTATCACTGTCAGGTTTAAAGATATAAAAAGTGTGTTTTAACATCTGAATAGAAACTTGCAATGGAAAAGGATGATGTTACATTGTACCATGTTGTAAATTTTGCACTTTAATGTTTTGAACAAGCCCTAAGGCCACACCAATTTAATTTGTTGGTTCTCTGATCTTTTTTCCAAAAAAAATCAAACGACAGGGCGAAAAAAAGGACAAATAAAAACAGGTCAAGGCATCCTATTATAGCCCCAAAAGGCTTGGTTGATATTCAAACAACGAATTTTGGCTTTTTATCAAACCACTGCAATGATAGATGGGAAAACTGTAACAACTAAGAAGAAAATGACTTACCTCAACTGTTGGGGGCAAAATATGAGCATATTTGAGTTGATTCATAACCAGTACGTATTTTTTCTTCTTTTTTTTTTTGCAAAATCAGAAAAAAATGAAGAGGCTAATCTGAGAACCCACAAATTAAATTGGTGTGGCCTAATGTATTGAGTTCATTTTTACTATATGGTGTTCATAGTCACTAGCAAGTTGCTGCAAAGTAGTGCATATACAATGTTAGTTTTGTTAAGAAATACCATACATATGAAAATATATTCACATAGCAGGTAAACTTTAACAATAACACATATTGATGTCTGTTTTACAAATACTACAACTTTCACATAGTATGTATTGGAGTTAAAGTTAGAAAGTACATTGTACATGCTTGCAGAATAGAAACCAAACTCACTACATGAATAATATTAGTTTTATAGATATTAATACATATATCTGAACCAAGTTTCTGGTAATAATTGGAAAATAGTTAGAGTACATGTATATTATAATGCTAAGTACTAGGCATTAATGTTGTTAGTAGTCGCTCATTCAATAAATAAAGTATTTTGTGGAAACTTTTTTGCGTGTCATGTATATCTCTTTCCTCAACTTGAAATAAACAAATACATTTATGTATTTGGTCCAACAACTATCACCCTGTGATGCTTTAGGCCACAACAATTTTATTTGTTGGCTGTCAGATTTTTTCAGAAAAAATATGATGCGAGTCGACAGAGCGAAAAAATAAAAATAGGTCCAGGCCCCAAATGCCTTGATAGGAGCCATGATTTAGTCAACACAAAAGGCTGGGTTAATATTTAAACAATGAATTTTAAACTTTTAACGACTGCATTGATAGATAGAAAAACTGTAACAAGTAGAAAGAAAAGGACTTTCCTCAACTGTTGGGGGCAAAATATAAGCTGATTCAGAACCAGAATATTTTTTTTGCAAATCAGAAAAAAATTAAGAGGGGAGTCTGAGAACCAACAAATTAAATTGGTGTGGCCTTATAATAAAATGCCCGAGACTGCATATAACTTCCTATGAATAGTATAACACACTTGGCATATTTGCTCATTTGCAAAAAAATGTACTGCATATTTCATGTTTAAATTGCCACATTTGATGAATATTAATGTTTCTATGACAATAATGTATGAATAGTCCTCCTGTTGAGTACAATCTAAGTTGAGTGGTATAAGGGAAATAATTAAACAACATTAAGACAACAGCCTTCAGTAGTATAAGTATTAGGCCATAGCAAGCAATTTTTATGGATGACATCAATGCGCACATTAATTTTTGCATGATTTTTGGGGAAAAAAAGAAATTTTGTTGCCCCCTGACAGTGGTCAACATGCCGAAAATGGGCAAATATGTGACGGTGGCTGTGTTTACGTGATGTTCCCGCTGAATCAAAACCAATTTGTACAATGATTGAAAAATTAGTTTTTCTAAAGTTGTTTCAGTGAGAAATTGATGTTGTAATAGTTGGCAGTAAACTAACCACAATATATGTAGCATTTCTTGTTTAATAAAGTTTATGATGTCAAAATTTGAAGATGTATGAATCTTGTTTTTTTTTCAGCCCGCCTTGTTTTTTTTCGCCCTATCGTATTAGATTTGGAGTCTGTGGAGGATGTCATACATAAAAATTTACTTACTGTGGCCTTATATGAGCAAAAACCATCTGTGAAACATCAGTGAAAGACTTGCGTTTAACATTGGCAATAACATCTCACTGGTGTAGCAGGCCAGTACATACTCCTGACCAAAATGTACCCCGGGTACATTCCTGCTGGGGGGTATTTACCAGCTTGTTACACCTGATGCTATTTTGCTTTCTGAAAAGTCAGCCATGAAGCAGCAATAAAGGGGAGTATCATTAATACAGAAGAGGGTGTATCCTGGAATGTCGTATCAGTTCATCCTTGTCGCTGAACTTGCCCCCGCACACAACACAAATGAACTGTCCCTGCTCGTTCTTGCGTAGCGGCGGCGCGGGTTGCGAACCGGGCGGGTGCAGCCTCATGTGCATGCGCAGTGTTGCCTCCTCGTTGTACCGGGCGCCGCAGACGTTACAGTAGAACGGTCGCTGGTCCACCAACGCACGCATGTTGACCTTATTCGGGAACGCCAGGTGTAGCTCCTTGGCACAGCAACTACAGTTTTTCTGATGGACCACTGCAGACGGGTCTGCGACGTTGTGTCCTTCTTTACAAACCCTTTCAGTCATGACAACTTTGCTTGCTACGTCCGTACTCCCTTTGACAGCAAAACTGCCTTCAGCGTGACAGTTCTGTGTTTGTAGGTTTGCTGTACCAATCTTGCTGTCCACGGTACCCAAACTGTGTCCTGACTTCCCCAACAGGTCTAGCAATATCGGACTCTTTTTGAGGGGCTTTTTGTGATCTTTCTTGGTCAGGGTTACTTCTTTGGGTTCCTTAGATTTCGTAGGAGTCCTCGGTGAGCGCCGTGGACGTTTTCCCGGACCTCCTCGCGGTACAGACGCTTTTCTTTTACCTCTCGCTGGTTTTGTGGAGGCTGTGATATCAGATCCAATGATGTAATCTGCGTCTTTTTCAACGCTTCTGTTCCTGCCTGTCCTTCGACCCCTCCTCCCCCTACCCCTACCCCCTCTCCCAACTCTCCTGACCCTCCCCCAGTTTCATTTCTATTGGCAGCTGCCTCTGTCGTCACACTTATAAATTTCCCAGGGTCCTCTTGGTGCTCACTTGGTCCCTCGCCACACCCTGTCGTCACCTCTGCACCACCCCCCAATGATGTGACTTCCTTGGCACTACATCTACTACTTTCTGTAGTCCTGGCATCAGCTACTTCAGTTTCGCTGACAGACTCCAGCTCTTTGCTCAACTCTATAGCAGCATTTAGTGAAGTATTCAAATTCTCTAATTCCTCCTCAACTTCCAAGGGATTTGGCACAGGATACCCAGCATTGATAGTAGCAGGATCAGAGTTTTCCGTAGTCTCATCCACCATAAAATGGAATGAAGAAATGTTTTGTTCAGTTGCAGTTGTCACATCATTTCGATGCTGTATCATCACATTGGGAGCTTCAGGATCTTCATTGACACGTGATACCGTATTTGGAATAGGTTCTGTCACAAGATTTAACGGCTCTTCCTTTACTTGCACTTCCTCCCACTGATTTTTACCACTGGGTTCTTCAGCTCGCTGTTCCAAGGATGGCCTCTCCCCCTCCTGCCCTGATCTGACTTGTGTTAAGTTGGCTATGATGCTGTGCAACTGCATTCTTTTTTTCTGTCTCTTCTGTAGACCATCTCCCTTTGTTACATTTGACGGTGAACCTGGTTTTTGGTGCTGCTGTCTTTTGTTTCTTGTGCATCAGAACTGTCGGGTCCAGTAGGAATGATTTTTTGATTCATACCGGCCATAATTTGTCTGATAGAAGCCTCGGTTTGTAGAGGGTTTGGCTTAGGCAACACGACTGCAACTTTATGGTTGTTTTCTTTCGGCTGTGGTTTGAAAAGGTTGCGTTTCTTTAACTCTTGTGTCAAATCCAAGCCGACGACCTTCTCCAGATCTTTCCACAGCTTGTCTTCATCTTTTTCCTTCTCTTCTGCCGTCTTTTCTTTTTCGGACTGAACCGTTGACGGGTTTGGATCGCAGGCGACGTTTTGCGTGCTGTTAGCAGCGTCGGGTAAGCGATGCCATTCCCACTCCCTTCCCGTGTGGTTATGCATGTGTAACTGGATGGTTTTCGCGTCCCGGTATCGTGCGGAGCACACAAGGCACTGAGTACGGCCGGCTTTCTACATCCCTCTTCATATCGCGATGCTCTTTCATGTGGATCTTATACTCGTCAATATCTGCAACCGGCTTCCCACATAGGTAACAGGAAGCAGCTTTGATGGGGTTTAATTTCTTGCGCTCCCTGTTCACCAATTTTCTGCTGCTGGACAAACTCCGGGTGGATTTTGCGTAGGTGCCTGTCACGTGACTGCGTCTGGCGGAATTTAGCGCCGCAAACGTTGCACGAGTGTTCCCCTTCGCGGTTGTGGATCCTACTGTGGATCTTTAAATCTTTCCTGCTCTGAAGCGGAGCGGAACACTTGGTGCATTTGAAGGGGGAGGGGGGCCGTTCGGGTACGGAATGACTATCAAGATGTGCCTGGTAACGCTGCTTACACGAAAACTTAGCTGGACAAAAGGGGCAAATCAACCCACTTTTCCCAATAAGATGCTTTCTATTCTTTTGCTGCAAAGGTACTTTGTCACCAAGCCTAGACTGTCCTGCCTCATTTATTTTCTCACATTCTTTTGTTTCATGTGAAGCTGTTGCCACTTTGCCACTTTCATTGGACGTTTCTGTTGTTTTCTCGCACACTTTTTTCATCCGAGCAATTTTCGTCAACTTTTCCTACTGTTGCACCTGCCATGCCTTGCTCCATGCCGGTTCTATGTGTGTTACCTTGTTCACTGATGTCTGATATTGCATTACCTTGTTCATTGGTATCTTTGTCTGGCTTATTTCCCATCACTCCTTGCACATTTCCATCTTCTGTCATGTTTTCAGTGTTTTTTCCTTCAGGGGAATGTTTTGTCTTCGGTTTACTTTCTTCCTCACTGTCTTCTTCAACTTTATCATCTTTAACTTCAAGCTCTTGTTTTGAAGAACCCTCTGAACCATCGTCCTTAGCCTCCATGAGTTCTTTAAGAAGTTCCCGGACCTTCATGGCTTTCTTCCCCTTCCTTCCTCGTTTCTTTCCTCTGTACTGTTTGTTCCACACTTCGTTGGCACGGTCGCCTTTCTCTCTGCAACTTTTCATGTGACTGGATCGAATCCGAAGCCTGTCAAACGACTTGCCACACAGTTCACACTTGTATTCCTTCTTGAGTAGACTTTCTCCGTCGTCTTGATGATTCCCGCGCCCGGTTTTTGTGAGGTGTCTCTGTCGCACGTCGAAGGTTCTCCCGTCTCGTGCTAGACCGTACTTGTACCGACAGCTCGTAATATGACTCGACCGCATTCGTAAAGTCTTGAACCACGCGAGACAGATTTCGCAGCGATACCCCTCGGAAAAATTGGCGTCGTGCAACTGTGACGGTAACTTCACATCCCTTGAACCAACCGGCGCAACCGACCACACTTCCGATTCGCCATAGATGGCTTCCTGACTGGTTCTATCCGGATTCTGGATCATTCCAATGGTAATGTTTGCACTGGCTAGCAAACTAGAGTCTCCAACACGGGGCAACGCCGACTTTGGGGCTATCGGGATCCACCCTTTTCCTCCAAAATGACTCCCTCCAAGTTGAGATGCTGTATTTCCTTTAGCTCCTAAATACAGGAAAGAAATGCGGTACATGATTTTTTATCTTACAGACGTGACTTGGGCACTTGAGAATGAGTATGGAATTTGAACACACACCCCAACCCCCTCCCCTCCAAATGGACTGGTCTCATGTTGTAGTGGTCGTATAAGGTTAACATCCCGACTGTAGTTTCCAAATATTGTGTCGGAAAAGATAACATCCGTGTCCATAATATCACCAGGGTCCATAATATCACCACCTTGAGAAACAGTGTGCTTAAAGATATTTTTACTGCAACATACTTTTGGTATGCATTCCTGCACACCTCAAATGTACATACCTAGGGTATGTTGCAGTAAAAATATCTTTAAGCATACTTTTTCTCAAGGTGGCGATATTATGGACCCTGATGATATTATGATGTTATCCTCTGCAACAGACAAAATTCTAATGCAACGTTGACCAAACATCCAAGGAAGGCACAGTACGTTCTGCCGACGTGCTAAATACACCTAAAAAAGTCTGTCACGTATATAATTATTGGAGGAAGCCATTGTCAAGAGCTAGGGAGAAGTTTTTTCTTACCTTCCACAATGTCTTGTCTACTCTGTTTTGGCGTCCATGTTTTTGCTGGCTCCGCAGAAGGGTAAGAATCTTTTCCTGTCAACAAACAACAAACAGGACTTAGTGTATCTAAAATAAATAGACAAACATGTAAATCAACAAACAGGTATACAGGTTTGAAAAGAAACAAACTTCAAGTACACCACCACTAGTACTGCAACAGCTTTGATTCCATCCAAGGTATGTGGCTCATTTGCATAATCCCTTGCCCAACCCCTTCATATAAGGTCAACGACCTTTCACGTACTAGTACCTCATGCACAAATACATTTATTACAAGTTGAAACCTAGCACTATCCCTACCATTTTCGACGTCATAAAATTCAGATCAAATTCTAAAAACTGAAAATAAGCTTACAACTACATAGTGCTTTTGGCAAGTGCAACAAAGCTCTTACCATAACTTGGCACATTTTGTTGATCATTTGTTGTGTAGTACTCCTCCAAACCTTCATCTATAACAAGTCCTGAAAAGAGAAAAAAACATTAAACTTAGGAGCTGATATAATATCATTGATTAAACACTAAGTTTCCAATACAAAGAAAACCCTGCAGTTCCAAAGGAAGCTGCTTGGGGGACCCAAACCAGCATGTCGGCAGAACGTACTACGCCTGCGCAAAACCCTGATTTTTAATGGTTTTCATTGGATTTTTGGTCACCGTTGTATTAAAATTTTGCCTGTTGCAGAGGATATCTTTTCCGACATAACATTTGGAAACTACAGACGGGATGTTAACCTTATATGCGCGAATACAACCTTATACGAGATGTTCTGCCGGAATGCTGTGCAAAATACATTACGGATTTTGCGCAGGTGCAGTACGTTCTGCCAACGTGCTACCCAAACCTATATTACTGTTAGCTTATGCAAAGAAGCACGTCAGCAGAACGTACTGCACCTGTGCGAAACCCATAATGTATTGTGCATAGCACTTAAGCAGAAAGTCTTATATAAGGTTGTATTCGTGCATATAAGGTTAATACTCCGTCTGTAGTTTCAAAATGTTGTGTCGGAAAAAAAATTGTCTGCAACAAGCAAAATTCTAATGCAACGTTGACAAAAAAAACAACGAAAACCGTGAAAAATTGGGGTTTTGCGTAGGCGCAGTACGTTCTGCTAACGTGCTATGCAAAATATTATCAGATGTGAAGTTGTAGTATTTGGACTGTACTACCTCCTTCTTCTTCAGGGGGTGGCTGTCTGTGCACCAGGCGCTTGTCCTGTTTTCGTCTCCTTTTCCTCCCTGTTGGCACAATGGACTCTTCTTTAAGTTGAACTGGTTCTGGAAAAGAGTAGTAATGACTGATTACACAAATTTTCATCTGATTTGGAAAAAAAACAAGTGACAGTGACAGACCTCTGACAGTGGTCAACATACCACAGGGCAAAGATGTCTGTTGCCATGTTGGAATATGGATGGCAGATAACTAACTGACAAGACAAAACATAATTTATTGTTTTGTCGTTTACTTAGATGCAGAATTTCATTCCTTTTGCGTGATGTTGGCTGTGTATATGTGATGTTCCCACTGAATCAAACCATTCATACAATGATTGAAAACATATTTTTCAAGTTGTTTTGCATTAGATTTGGAGTCTGTGGAGGATGTCATCCATAAAATTTACTTGCTGTGGCCTAATGACTGATTACACAAAAAGTAGAAACTCAAGGATTTGCTAATCTTCATTAACTTTGAAGAATAATAAAAAATGTGAAAAATCAATAAACAGGTGGTTAGTAAAGCTACAACACTGTATAACCTATTGTTAACAAATACAGAAATATGGAAGGAAAAAGCACAGTCATATTTCAATCACAGTTTTCTTCATTGACATGTTGGTAATGTGCCATACCTGTACAGGGCAAATTCTTAGATTGACAGCTCATTAATAATTTAGAGTGAGGCATATTATGCAAGATTTTTGTGCCAAAACTGTAAATATAATAATTGAAATTTTAAATAACTTTCAACATACAAATGTATTTGCATCGCTATTTCACTTTTCTGGCAACTCAGTGCAGCGCAAGAATAAGTTGTGTCAGGGCCACTGTTTATTTATTTATTGATCTTAAAACAGTTGGGTAGTACCTTCAGTTTAGAACAACTGATTTCCATTTGGTAACCCAACAAAACTGTACTTTTAGGAGGCTCCCAAAAAGAATGTAAACAAACAACATGGCCACATTACACACTAGCGCTGTGGAGTTGGCAGTTTTCCAACAGTTTTTGCTCAACGTTTTCAATCTTTTACTCCCCAAATGTCAATTTATGAACCCAAGTAGGCTTGTACGTTATAGCGCAAGCAAGAAAATGTGTAAAACAACAATGTTTAAAATAGTGAAAATCTTACATGATATCGCTTTAAACAGTTCAAAACTCAAGTGCCATAAACTTAACTAAATTCACAGTACCTTCTTGCTCTTCCTGTGATTGTTCTTCCTCCTTGTCTCTTCCCTCCACAATGATGCCTCCTTCGTACACGATCATAATCTCACAATCATTGCGTATGGCATCGATGTACCCCAACGGTTTCAGTTTCATCGGGCTTTTGACGACAAACTCAATGTCGGGAAAGATACTCTCGACCGACTTGCAGACGCGGTGATAGCCAACTTTCGACTTGAAGCAAATTGCACAGTACAACGCATTTCCTTGTCTTCCGCACGCGCCGAAAGATACCAGTCCGCAAAGCTGTTCCACGAAATCTACCGGAGCGATACTGCCCGCGTCTGGGACGTAGATGGCGTAGTTGAAGTTCGTGCTGCGGTTCGGTAGCGGTCGGTCCGCCAATCGGAAGATGTCAAACCCAGACATCTCCAATATGCTACAGTAGGAAAAAGTAAAAAAACATCAGGTTAAAGCGATATTATGTAAGATTTTTGCACCAAAACTGTAAATATAAATAATTGAAATTTTCTGCACTAGATTGTCATCTTCAATAAGTTTCAACACGAGTGTCCCTATTTCGCTTTTCCAACGACAGCGCAGCGTAAGAATAAGTTGTGCCAGGCCCGTCGTATTTTTAGGAGGCTCCTAAAAAGAATGTAAACAAACAAGAGGTTTTCGTTCGGCTACTAGTATCTTTGGCAGCTTCAACATGTTTTTGTGGCACAACGACGTTGATCTTTTACTCCCCAAATGTCATTATAAACCCAGGTAGGCTTATAGTGCAAGAAAATGTGTAAAACATTTATGTTTAAAATAGTGAAAAATCTTACATACTATCGCTTTAAAATTTCATTATTATCAACTTTATAATACTTTCGCTGTGGATTTCAATAGTTTTTTGGCATTCAGTGGATGTCATCCATAAAATCAAGTCAGTGTGGGCTATTCATGGATAAAAACCATGAAATGGATAATAGACCATTATCTTTGGCAAGTTGCCAAAAGTTCCCTCAAAGAATAATACCCCCCTAGAGAATATATGGTTTCTTCCTCTGAAACACAACATTCTGGACTTTTCCATTAAAAATGGGGAGGATAGAATTTTATTTATACAAAATAACACAACAATCTTCTATTCAATCCTCCAAATTTCTTCATCGTCAATATTTCACACCTAATAAAAATAAATTAAAGTAATTCTAGATCATTTCAATCCTTTTTTCTTCCGCCCTTCTTACAAACGGAGTCATAAAGTTTACATGCGCCCCCATTACAATGGAATCGCCCATATCTGAACGAAGCCACAGTGTATCGGAGGGGAGCCAAACAGACGAAGGGACACATAATTCGATCAGGAAGCTTTCAATAATTCCAGGAAGTCTATACTTCAGATCACAAAAGATTCTATCTCAACCCAACAGACTCTGAAACCGCAACTCAGAGCAAAAGGAAGCAAAACTGGGCGACAAAATATTACAAGTCTACGAAGTAAATAATGCTGTCTGGAGCCATAACCTTTGCCAGGCAGTTCCCGGTTTAATAGTTTAAGGCTACAGGTTTCCAACACTTGACTTGAACTTTTGGCAAATCGGCACATCCAAGTTAAACTTAAAACTCCTGATTATTCCGAAATCCAGGGATTTTGTCGAAAGGACTTTTAGTTTAACAAATGCGCCAGACATTGGCGAAAAAATACGCCGTTTTCGTAAACAGTAGTCGGTTTCCCGCGAAGTTAAAAACAGATCTGATTTCGATTGTTTTTTCGGGTGCATGCGCCCTGTATACAACCAACCGCTGTGAACACTTAAGAAAGACAAGATAAACACTTAAGATGGGTGAAATTTAAGAAAAGGATTCTTACCTGCTCCAGCTTTGGGCTGCAGCAAAAATGGCGACGCCAGTGCCAAGAATTGGGATCTGCGCATGCGCAATACGTGGCAGCGCACACGTAGACTGCGTCTTTACGCATGCGCGGGAGGAACAGTCCATTGTTAAAAACGGGGGCTGCGAAATTTGCACATCTGTTTTTCTAATCAAGTTTTTGGCAACAGAAAGCCAGATTTGCGCTATAAAATTTCCGTCAATAAAAAGAAGTGCATTGAAGTTTTAAACAGAATTGCTAACTTTTCTTATTCTAATAACCAACAGCTAATGTTTATAATAACAATCAAATTCACTGTGTTTGTTTCTATATAAAGACATTTATTCTAAAGCATGCATATTTGGTCTCTGACAATTCATAGCGCATTCATAGCCAAACGTCCTTCCGAGAAAAATGAAAAATCATGCCATATAGCAAGGACGTTCTAGCATATAGTTGGGCAAGGTGTCAATATGTTGGGACTAACCAGTAACATTGGTGTATGGGTTATTGCTAGTAGTATTGTATAAAAAAGATTTGTTCAGAATGTGCATAGATCTAGATACGTAGTTTTTGTTCTCTCACGGGTAACTGTTAAGGCAACACCGTCTTAATTTTATCTTTTATGGATGACATCCTCTGAAGAACCCCAAACTAGTGCGCGCGGGCGAATTTAAAAAAAAAATTCCGACCCAAAATAAAAATGCTACTAAACCACAGGAATACAAAGCTGGTATTGTGAATTTACGGCAGTACATAGCGACGTATACGACAAGCCGGCACATGCTGACTTTTTGCGGGGTTTATGAATCGGCACTGTACGTATGTACTGAGTTCTTGAGTCGTGGAGCTTCGGTATCCTGGGTGCCCGGCTCCGTATTGTCGCTAACTACCATGGACTACCCAGGCCTAGAGCCAGGCCAGAGCCTCGGAGGACGTGATCTTTTTTAGGCTTTCTTTTGTGTTCTGTATTTTTTTTATGCCAGCCAAACTCCTGGAGGCGTATTGAATACTGTCTGGACAATTTGAAACCGTCCGATCAATTTAATACTTGCATTCACCAAAAGATTTGCTGCTACGTTGAGGTAGTATTCGGGTCAAGGTCGAATAACGCAGACATAAACAATGGCTGGGATAAGCGTGCACGGACTGACCGGCGGTAACCCTATAGGCTGAGTAACTGGGACATAAGCCAATCAATACAAGAAGGGACAGAGATGTCTGTCTTTTCCTGGGGTGTCAGAGTATACAGTGCAATTGTACGGAATACAGTGCAATTTTACGGAATACAGTGCAATTTTACGGAATACAGTGCAATTTTACGGAATACAGTGCAATTTTACGGAATACAGTGCAATTTTACGGAATACAGTGCAATTTTACGGAATACAGTACAATTTTACGTATTACAGAGCGATTTTACGGAATACAGTACAATTTTACGTATTACAGAGCGATTTTACGGAATACAGTGCAATTTTACGTATTACAGAGCGATTTTACGGAATACAGTACAATTTTACGTATTACAGGGCAATTTTACGGAATATTGTACAATTTTACGTATTGCAGAGCGATTTTACGGAATACAGTACAGTACAATTTTACGTAATTACAGAGCGATTTTACGGAATACAGTGCAGTTACGGAATACAGTACAATTCTACGGAATACAGTACGATTTTACGTATTAAAGAGCGATTTTACGGAATACAGTACAATAATTTTACGTATTACAGACCAATTTTACGGAATACAGTACAATTCTACGTATTACAGGGCGATTTTACGGAATACAGTACAATTTTACGTATTACAGAGCGATTTTACAGTGCAATTTTACTAGTATACAGTACAATTTTACTAGTATACAGTACAATGGTATTAGTATACATTGCAATTTTACGGAATACAGTAAAATCGTATTAGTATACAGTACAATATTACGGAATACAGTTCAATTTTACTGGTAAAAATGGCACTTATATACTATATAATACGATTGTACTGTATTCCGTAAAATTGCACTGTAACGTTATACTAATACGATTGTACTGTATTGCGTAAAATTGCACTGTATACTAGTAAAATTGCACAGTATTCCGTAAAATTGCGCTGTATATACCCCTGGCATCCCTGTATACGTTAATAACGAAGTTGCCGTCTCTCTATAATGACCTTGTCGTAGGCAGATCTAGTTATGGTGCTATTTGCAGGTGATGTAATGTAGGGCAAGGTCGCCATAGCCTTTTTGAGGCCGCAGTAGCAGTGAGTTGAATGTTAATAACAATGTACAGTGTAATCAATCGATCAATCAATCAATCAAGCCGCAAGCATCAGGGTAGATGCATGGCGGCTGTAGCCATGTCCCTCCAGGATGTTCTGTTTCTTTCTGTTACTTTCTTTACTTTCTGTTACTTCAGTTTCTTTCTGTTACTTTCTGTTACTTTCTCACTATCCCCTGCCACGAGAAAAAAATTACTACTAAGATCAAAGAACCCACGTGTCATAGAAGAAGTGGGTGAATTCGTCTTCCACTGCCTCAAAAGAAGAAGTCAAAACCAGCAAAACTAGTACGTACCATGTATGTTTCTATCTTTCAGTTTCTTTCTGTTTCCTTCTGCTACTTTACAGTGTCGTGGGCACGATATTTGAAGGTAGAGCACATTCTTCCTCTTTTCTAAACTTCATCGTATTATATATACGTGACTATTAAATGAAAGTTTATTGCAAATATATGTCCGGGGGCTAAATGCAGTTACAAAAGAAACATGAAAAAAGAAAATACAATGGTATGTGAGACTACGTCTAACATTATACTACATTCTACAACATACATGGTACGTACTAGTTTTCCTGGGTTTGACTACTTTTTTTGAGGCAGTGGAAGACGAATTTACCTACTCTCCAAGCAGAGGTTTGGGTTTTGGGAGTACTGAATGTTTTTCCCACCAAACCCAACACATTCAGTGCAAAAGAGAAACCCCGATAAAAAAAGAAAAACACGCTAAAAATACCCCCATAACCCAAACCTCTGCTTGGAGAGTAGAATTTACCCACTTCTTCTATAATACGTGGGTTCTTTGACCTTAGTAGTAATTTTTTTCTCGTGGCTGGGGATAGTGGGAAAGTAAGGGAATATTTTGGACACGGTGGTAAATAGTTGTTTTGTGATGTCGTCATAAAATGAACTACTAGAGATGAAATGATTAGATATAATAAATGTTTGCCAATAAAGATTATGAAACCAAATTCATTAAATACTGGTGAACATTTTTTTTTATTTAGGCCTCTTCTAGATAATCACTTGACAGACATGTAATGGTTGATTGAAAGACCTTTATTGTACATTCATGCCACGACGGGCTAGGTACAGGTCAAGATTTGACAGACACATAACAAACGTATATAGAAAAGTGGAGACAAAAGATGCACTACTTGACTTAGACATACATACACAGGGAACATACAAGGATACTATATACTAGGCTAATACCAAGGAGGTTATATACTAACTACTTGCTAATACAGAGTGGTCAACTTCTCGCTTTTTTGTACAATGCAAATTGTGGGAACAGATCATGTTTGTGATACAGGGTTTGTCTAGGCGCATCAAAAATGCTAGTACAATGTATATCGTTTGCATTTAGGTGTTCGAAGTATTGGAACTTCGCCAAAAGCACAGATCTTTCATCGAATATGAAGTACAGTCTAATATAAAGAGCTAGCCTGGGTACAATCATGGAGGTAGAAAACGTCTTTTAACTCCACGGTACAATCCACGCATAAAACATTCAGCCGCACCCTACATCTGCTAAACACATGGCCGGGACAGGACACACGTGGCTGACCTTTGACCCTGTGTCCTGTTACCGACCGGCAGAACTTCGCTGCCTGACGATATTGACTGAGAGTGAGTTTTTATGAGTTTTATTCTCTCTATATCGACATAATACTTTTTTTCTGACTGACTAATCACCGATCACTTTATTCTCCAACAAGTAGCAAGATAGTTTCCAGCAAAAGTAAGTTTAAAGTCGTATTTTCCGCTTGGGTCGCCTTTTTAGACCGTTCTTTTTGGTAAGTCCCAAATTTTATTCTAGAGAGAAGGAATTTTACTAAGGAGATTTCAATGGATTTACTGAAAATATTCAAAGGATACCGTAGAAGGTCCAATAAGACGCAAATCTTAATTATGAATTGGTGGAAATTCATAATTTGAGACAGATCTGGATATAGCGGAAGTGTGTAGGGGCCACGTTGAC